GGATAGGCAAGCATTCCAAAAGTTAGTCAGATTAATAAGAAATAGAGAAAAAAAAACTTCGCTAGAAACAAGGAAAAAAGTACTAAACTTTTACGTGATATCTGTCCTCCTGTATGACAGTGAGTACTGGACAATCTCCTCAAAGACGATGAAACAATAGAAATGTGTTTCTACGGAAGGATGCTGAGGATACCACGGATCGAACATGTGAGCAACGACGAAGTTTTTGAGAAAATGAAAACAAAAAGGAAACTCATACTTTACATCAGGAAGAGACAGTTGAGATTTTTTTGCACATAATGTGGAAAGAGGGCTTTGAAAATATTAGGAGAAATTAAGGCGAGACAGACAGCGGAACACAACCTATAAAATACTGAGATTGAGGCTGACGGAACAGGGTTTGTGACAAACAATAGAATGACAAAATTTATTAAGAGCTGTGAGGGAGAGAATTTTGTGGAGAGCCATGATCGCCTAAGTCCTGAAAGGACATGGCACATAAAGAAGATAGCACTTCGAGCGATCTGAACTATATATATATATATATATATATATATATATATATATATATATATATATATATATATATATATATATATATATTAGTGGAAAATATACATACGTATGCAAAATATATAAATACCCATACATGTATATTTTCAGAAAAAAAATTCAAGAGGAAGAATCCAGGTAGAACTCAATGTCTAGGACAGAGTAAGGATATAATAAAAAGGCTTAAACACTAATATTCCATCGTCAAAATTTATTCCATTGGAATCGTAAATACGATCCAATTCATCAGACCTACAAATTCAAAATGAACACAGAAAAAACCACTCCGGAAGTGAAAACAGAATTTAGAGAAAGTGTAAATATGAGGAGGGGGAGGGAGATTGAACCTTAACAGAGAGAATTTTAGGAGAGGTGGTGGGGAGGGTTTTAGATAAGAGAAGAGAATGAATGTCGACGGATGTCTAATGCATAAAGATACATTTCATTTATTATATATATATATATATATATATATATATATATATATATATATATATATGTAAAATTACAAAAAAGATAGATCTATAAAGAAAGCTCAATGTATTGTATACAGAACAGTATAATATACACCATACATCAAAGGAAAACAAAATAACACCACTGTGAAAGATGCAATAATAAATTTATTACGAGAGGTAAGTTTTTAATACCTACCTCCTCAGGCCGGGATTGCAATATGGTTTAAATTTATCCAGACAATGTGGTAAAAAAAAATTAAATTAAATATATGCAGATGACACAGTGCTGATAACAGACACAGGAAGCAAATTGCTGCAACTCCTAGAGAAAGTAGTAAAAGGAAGCAAGATATAAGGAAAAAATATCCATTGTAAGAAGACAAAATATATGGCTGTTTGAAAGAGGAACAGCCAACAATACGAACTACGAAGTGGAGATGCTAAAATAAAGCAAGTCGAAACAATTAACATTCTAGGAAGTGTTTAAACAAAGGACGGAATATATAACACCGAACGTTTATTTCGATAACGAAAGATGCCTTTCAAAAGCTAAGTGGTAAGAAACAGCAAAAATTCGTTAGAAGCAATGAAAAGAGTACTGAACTGTTACGTGATATAAGTCCTCATGCATGACAGACAGTGAATGTTGGACAATCTCTTCAAAATGACGAAAAATCTTGAGGCAATAGAATTGTGGTTTCTGCAGAAGGATGCTGAGCATACAATGGAACACAACAGACAGCGGAACACAACTTATAAAATACTTCGTGAGATTGAGTAAATGGATGGTGGGACAGGGTTTGGGAGAAATAACAGAATGACAAAATTTATTTTAGAGATGTAAGGACAGGATTTTGTGGAGAGTCATCGTTGCCTAAGTCTTGGAGGCAATACGACACATATCGTCTTCTTTAAGATATCGCTTCAATCGAATCTGAACTATATATATATATATATATATATATATATATATATATATATATATATATATATATATATAAATGTAATATATATATATATGTAATGTTTTATAGAAAATTGAACAAATAGGTAAGTTGTACTTGTAATCAGAAAATGACAGTTGAAATTTCTAGGACACATAATGAGGATAGATGACTAGGTGAATATGATACTCACAGGGCAAATTGAAGGCGAGAAATTAAGGGGAAAGATAGCGTGTAACCTATGTGTAAGTGTATGGCTGAACAGGGATTTGGAGAGAAGAATAAGGGAACATGATACATCATATTGAAAGTATTGGTGAACCAGGATCACCCAGGGCCCAAAGGGACACGCCACATAGAGAAAAGAATAATTATTTAATAATGGTAATCTTGAACCAAAATCATATCTGACCTACTTCAAGATAATAAAGATAGATTGATAGATTGATATGAACAAAGTGAGATAGATAGATAGATAGATAGATAGATAGATAGATAGATAGATAGATCGGAACAGACTGAGATAGATATTAACAAACTTAAATAGATAGATAGATAGATAGATAGATAGATAGATAGATAGATAGATAGATAGATATGAACAAACGGAGATCGATATTATCAAACATAAATAGATAGATTTGAACAAATATAGATATTAACAAACTTAAATAAATAAATAGATATGAACTAGCTGAGATAGATAGATAGATAGATAGATAGACAGATAGATAGATAGATAGATAGATAGATAGATAGATAGATAGATAGATAGATCTGACCAAACGGAGATCGATATTATCAAACATAAATAGATAGATTTGAAAAAATATAGATATTAACAAACTTAAATAAATAAATAGATATGAACTAGCTGAGATAGATAGATAGATAGATAGATAGATAGATAGATAGATAGATAGATAGATAGATCTGACCAAACGGAGATCGATATTATCAAACATAAATAGATAGATTTGAACAAATATAGATATTAACAAACTTAAATAAATAAATAGATATGAACTAGCTGAGATAGATAGATAGATAGATAGATAGATAGATAGATAGATAGATAGATAGATAGATAGATAGATCTGACCAAACGGAGATCGGAGATATTATCAAACATAAATAGATAGATTTGAAGATTTGAACAAATATAGATATTAACAAACTTAAATAAATAAATAGATATGAACTAGCTGAGATAGATAGATAGATAGATAGATAGATAGATAGATAGATAGATAGATAGATAGATAGATCTGACCAAACGGAGATCGGAGATATTATCAAACATAAATAGATAGATTTGAACAAATATAGATATTAACAAACTTAAATAAATAAATAGATATGAACTAGCTGAGATAGATAGATAGATAGATAGATAGATAGATAGATAGATAGATAGATAGATAGATAGATAAATAGATAGATTTGAACAGATATAGATATTAACAAACTAAATAAATAAATAAATAAAAGATAGATAGATAGATAGATAGATAGATAGATAGATAGAGATAGATAGATAGATAGATAGATAGATAGATATAGATAGATATGAACTAGAGATAGATAGATAGATAGATAGATAGATAGATAGATAGATAGATAGATAGATCTGACCAAACGGAGATCGATATTATCAAACATAAATAGATAGATTTGAAAAAATATAGATATTAACAAACTTAAATAAATAAATAGATATGAACTAGCTGAGATAGATAGATAGATAGATAGATAGATAGATAGATAGATAGATAGATATGAACAAACGGAGATCGATATTATCAAACATAAATAGATAGATTTGAACAAATATAGATATTAACAAACTTAAATAAATAAATAGATATGAACTAGCTGAGATAGATAGATAGATAGATAGATAGATAGATAGATAGATAGATAGATAGATAGATAGATAGATAGATCTGACCAAACGGAGATCGGAGATATTATCAAACATAAATAGATAGATTTGAACAAATATAGATATTAACAAACTTAAATAAATAAATAGATATGAACTAGCTGAGATAGATAGATAGAT